GAGGAGAGGAGAGGAGGGGTGGGGGGGAGGGAGCACTTACTTTTTAGCGTTTATTTGGTTTGTTTAGAGCGTTGTTTATAGTCAGTGGAGCCAAATGAGCCCTTTGACCAAGAGGGAGAGCTGTGGGGGAGGTTTGGGTAGCTGTCGACGCGTGTTGAGCCCAGCTCTTCCGGGCTAATGGCATCGTTTCCACTCAATCTCCTTCTCCATCTCTCTCTCTCCTCCTTACACCCCTTCACAGTTTCTCTGGTTCCACCCCCTTACACCAGTCTGTGTGCAGTTTGTCCGATGTAAACATATTTAAATTTGAATTATTAAGAGCTTTTTAGCTGGATTCAGGTGGTCGTCATAGATACCGTAGCTGCAGTTTGCACTGGTCTTTGCGGTCCGTTACCTCTGACCGACCACAGTGAACCTTTTACAGCTGAAAAAACGTCGCTGGTCACCGGTGAAAAGCCGTTTTTTCACAGACTATTTGAAGACGTTGATTCAACCTTCACATTTTTCATCCTCCACTGTGTCACTTTGGAGCCTGAAACCATCTGAGTTTTCAAATGAAAGCCAGTATAAAGGCAAGGTATCGAACCACGAACAAGTCCCACTCTTAGCCCAATTTAATGGACTTCTTGAACTCTTCTTACACTGGAGAAGACTAAATACTCACAACGCTGCAAGTCCCAGTCCCGACCAGTAGTCCGAGCTGTAATTGTACTTGTACGTGCGCGTCAGAGCATTTTATGTATCAATAAAATCAAATACAAATAAAGATAAATAAAATGGGTTGTTTTGTAGATATTGTTTTGGAAATTGAAGAATGTGTTGTTGTGGCCAAGCTGTTGCCACTGTTGCTGGGAAATTGAGTTATCAGGGCTGCAATTAATTTCCTTATCGATCAGTCTGCAGATGATTCTCTTTTATGATAAATCCATTCATTGCAATGAAATAATAGTTTTCTATCTTCAGATTACTTGTTGTCTGACCACCAGTCTGAAATTCTTCAATTTGCTATGACGTAAGACGAGGAACATTTTTCAACTAGAGAGGCTGGAACCAGCAAATATTTGGCATTCCTGCTCAGAAATAGTTGCACTTTCTGTCTTATTAACTAATCAAATAATGGATAATGATTGTTTCAGCTGCAGCCTACACCATCTTACTTTTTAACACTGGTTAGGGCTGTGCAATAATTCATGTAAGTATGTGAGTTAAATGTAATAAGAAACTCCGGGATAGTAATTATTCATTGCCTGGAGTTAAAGTTATTGTCAATTAACTGCTCAAGACTTGAAATTAACAACCGCCAACCCGCCAAATGTGGGTAAAAATTAATTGTGGTGGGAAATGTCATCAAGTTTTAAACCAGTTTGGTGCTCGCTGAATCTAATTATGCTCCTGCTACAAAGGCACAAATAAAACTGACCAGTGCAAACAGAAGGTCACGGGTGTAAGCACAATGACAACTTATCAGTGCACTTGTTATGTTTGTTTATAAGTGTGTTGGAAGCTACAGCAGCATTAGAATGAGGGACTGTGGCGTGTGTTTAGTACAGTACCTCTCATTTCTCTTCCTCTTCCTCACTCTCCCCATCTGGCTTTACCATTAGCGTAGTTTAATGTCACCCTTTGGCAGAGCACAGGCGCTTTCATAGGCCGACTGGCTCTTCTAAAAGTGGGAGACCCTGCACATGTGGCTTGGATTACCTGAAGATAACAGTATGGATTTTTGCAGGTACATCTGAGTGTGTACGTGTTGGAAGGCTCAGTAAAAGCCCTTTTTTTTGCTTTTATCGATAGTAAAAATTTGACAGCTTATCTCGTTTTTGTTTGTGCAGCTACAAATAGTGCATCGTGCAATCAGTGGGCGTACAGCCACATTGAGTAACTCCTGTATAAAAGCTTGTATTGGCTTTGCATTAAAGCTTACTGAACCATTAAATGGCTTTCTGAGAGCTTTGTTAGAAATTCCATTGACTCCTCAGCAGGCGGTGGATTTGAGTTTTTGCTAGTTGTTTTTTTTTAATAGGACAAAGAAAGCAGTGATTGGTGGAGCCCAGCCGCACCGTGCACTGAATGCAATTGGACTTGTGTTGATCTGCACTCAATTAGAACCAAATTACTACACAATTGAATGATGAGCGTAGAACAGAGCTAAGTGGAGTAGGCCGTTTCCATGGAAGCCATTTGACATGTCACAGTGGGACGAGCACAGGTGTCAATAATGGCTGAATTTCATTTGAGTGCTTCGGTTTTAGAGTGCTGGTTTTGTGCACTTTTGCTCATTTGAACAGAATGGAGCCATCATTAGTTACAGCTGAACTTTGGTCAGTTCAAGAGAGTAGAAAGCAGTCGAACGTACTCACACTAGAAACTTTTCACCAGAGCATATGTTTTTTGTCTTTGTCTGAGGACAATTTATGATCTCCTCAACGTGACCAGAAAAGTAGAAACATTTGCACATTGTAACAGAAATGTCTCTTGCTCCATATGTACTCTGTTTAAATGAGGCGGATGAAATAATCTAACTGCAGCTTCAAATGTTAACACAGAGCTTAACCAACTGAATACAGCTCAGCCTTCCAAGCGTGTAGGAGAACTACATGGCTGTGAA